CCAATCCTTTTCCTGTATTTAGCTCAGTTGGAGCAAAGCGGAGAGTTCGCTATCTGACTCAGACGAGAGCCAGCGTCGAAGTGACAAAATTACCATCAAATACTGGTATTTATAGCCTCAGAGACGCTCTGAGAGCTGCTTTACGCATGGTGCGTCCGTAATCGCGCTCTGAGCCCTTACGCCCCAAGAGCTTACTGCGCCCTCTACGTTTTCTGCAAGATAACTTAAATTGTAGCAAACTGGTTCGTTACAATATATATAGATAGATGCACCCTTTCTCCTTCAGAGTGAATTTGGGGATGCCTTAGAATCTTCTGATTATCAGTTGGTTATTACTGATTCAGAATTAAGATATGACAACAAATATGGTAAAATACAGGCTACAAAACATAAATGGGTGCAGACTGACTCTTCACGGTTTAGTTTGAATATTGTGTACTAGCATGTTTAGTCGTCAAACTAGTTGGCATATTCCAGTCTATGAGGAAGCTTAAAGCTGACTAAGAATTCTTTTTCTTTTTCTTTTGGAAAACTATCAATCTCGCGGTGAAAAATGTAAATATTTCATATAAAAAAAAGGTAATTTACCTGGTTCCATCTTAGTGGCTGAAGCTATCATGACGAGACTCCAGATAATTGCGATAAAAGGTTGAAAATAGGCCATCATTGAGGAGCAATGGATCACAGAAAGTATGTCTTCTTTAAAAACAGGTGTATTAATTAAGAACATGTTTCATTTTCGTATTGGCATTTTATATGTCTTGATTAGTATTGCATGAGCATTATGAGGAAGTATCTTCTAAGTAAACAGTTTCATATTACCTTTTTTAATACTTTTTTTACATAATTAGATATTAGATGTTAATATTTTCCTTCATATTCACCATATTCTTAGTCACCTACAGATGTTCATTTACTAATTCTCATTTTATTTCTTATATATTTCATTTATTTCTTTATTTTCAATCATTTATTGATTGATTCATTCATCATGATTGATTTTTTCATTTATAATTTTTTCTTGTTTAATCATGATATGAGTTTGTGGATGTTTTTATTCCTCCAATAGGCAAAGTATAGACTTTCATTTTCAATTGCTATGTTGTATAAAATCAAGTGGATATATTCTGCTTTTCAACATGTAGATATTTCATCATTGGATTACATAATGGCAGTGTACAAAAATTGAAGAAATTTCTTTCGAAGCAATTTAAAATTAATTTACTTTAAGTATGAAATAGTCATATTTATGATCTAACCTTTGTGTTTAAAGGTACTATGTCCCATTTGCAGGCCTAAAAAATGAAAAAGTTAAATTCCAACTGCATTTGAAAGATAATACTAATTTAGAACTTCCCTAAAAAAAGTGGGGCTTGAAAATGTATTCAAGTGGGAAAATAATGACTATTAGTTGTCAAATCGACTTTAGGGCTATAGAGCCCAAAAGTAATAGTCTTGATTTTCAGACAATTGTACCGAATGGTCATACGTTTTATGCTGGGCAAAGATTCAATCAGTTTAATCTTGGCCATCACAAGAAGTGGGTTATTGATGTAGACAAATGCTCATGTACCCTTTACAACTCTTTTCATGTATGGTATTACCAAAGAAGAAAAAAAAGCCAGTCAGTCACTCAAGTGTCTGACAGTGAAGTCTAGCAAGTAAACAGGTTTCCTTGCATAATTTGAATATGAGGACACTGCTAATGTTAAATTTCAAAGATAGGACATACATGACATATTCATAATTCCTGCAAAGTTCTACAGCATTTGAGGTTGGCTGCAAAAGGGACATAGTACCTTTAAACAAAGAATTGTAATTACGACTGATATGAGTGGAATCAACCATTTCTATAAGAATTAGAGGGGAAAGCAGTCTCCTCATGGCAAGTTCGTTATCACCATGGCTACAATGTTTATGTATTACGATTGCAATTCTATTTATGCCTGAATAAACAAGCAAAAATAATAAGAGTATGTGATTTGATGTTGAGGAAGGAAATAACACTTGAGACAACTGCATTTGCTTATGACTATTTCATCATTATGGCACTTCATAAAATATTTACATTGTCGTGAAAGAATAGAGCAGTTAAGTAAATTGTGAGAAGTTAAATTGGAATGATGCCATTTCAATTATTATGCAGTATGGAATTAGGAGTCAACTGAATCATAAGTATCATCTTAACTTCAGGAGAAATTCCATACATTTGTCGTCACCACATATTGAAGTATTGCGACATGACAAAGAAAGAATCATGTAAAAATCAGTCCAAATGGTGATGTGATGCAAATATTTACAATCCAAATCTTTAAGTTGCTTTAAGTCATAAGTAATACTAAGAATTTGGTACAAAGAATTTGGTACTCATGGCCAGCTGCCTGTTCACCTGACGGGGCAGATCCATTTGGTTTCATCCTGTCTTTGCTACATTTTTGGTTGCCAATTGCTTCATTTCTTGTGTAGACTATTCTAGTGGTCGGTCTTCTTCAGACAGGGCTGCAGCAGTGTGGTAACTGTTCTCATGCGGATGTTCTTGGTGGACAATTTTTTTTACCCCCTCCCCATTCTTCCTCCTCTGGTGAAGGGGGGGGGGGGATCAGCTTTTGAGTTGACCTTTATGGAGGCACCTGAAATCATGGCCTGAGAATCATGCATGCTTATATGGTGTTAGTCTCTTCACAGTGACCATTTACATTTATTTTGTTAACATCTGCATCAAGTGCCATCACTGTTTGTGTTTGGTATTTCATCGACATGTTGAGTCATGTAACTCAACACTTTGTAGATCAGATAGCTGGTTCTACGAAAGTACTCAAAACGTGGTAAAGTGATTACGTTAGTGATCATTACAAGCATAATTTACACAATGCGCACAAGATAATTGGTGTTTTGAAGTGTTGTATCTTTTCTTTTATCTTATCTTCCATGGAAATTGCAAGAATATTTAAAACAGGGTAGAGGCTGTTGTATCTCATGATGGTAGCAATGTTCTAGCTCAACTTTATTAAGTACATACTCAAGCAGCAAGAAGGAGACCTTGTGTGACTCAAGACTCAAGAGACATTTCAAAGAAACTTCAGACTATTGTTCAATGATTTGAATTTTATTGTTATTATTTTTTTTTAATTTGATTTTATTTCTGCATTTTTCCAAATATGATAAACTGAATAACAAAGAACATATACAGTAATACAAATACAAAATATACAAACATTAATAACTTCTTGTCAATTTAAAAAAAAAATATATATACATAATATACATGTATTATTATGCAAAATATCTGTGGTAAAAGTGCAGGAGACCGCAATCAAAAACGATGCTTGACTAGGATGGCGGCCTCACAAAAAAAACAACATTAGGTTAAAATTTAAAATGAAAAAAAGCGATGTGTGACGTTTCGAGCGGGAGAGAATTTTTTTTGTTTAAATGCATTATGGCAAAAAGTAAATTCAAAGGGCATCCTTATGCTCATATTGGTTGATCTATCGGTTGAACTATTTATATAAAAGCTTTCTTGATCGGTTATATTAAAAAAATAGGCTTGTAATTTAAGATAAAATATAACAAGGCTTCCAGGGATAATAGACTGCTAAAAAATGTTCAGAATCCCAACTTACAAGAATTTCAGCGCTCTACTATCTCCAGAAGATACAAGAAAACTTACAAGAAAACCTACAAGAAAATATACATATATATATATATATTTCCTTGCCTTTTAGTGATTATGAAGGGGTGACCAAAGTTCACAGATATTTTTCTTTTCTTGCACATCACAAAACATCCAGATCAATTATGTCATGTTCTATACGTCATAAGAATCGTAATTTATCATATAATCAGATTCTATAACATTGTGTTGACTTCAAACCAATGATGACACAAGAAAATACCACTACCGGCTTCTGTCAAAAAGTGTGACTTAAGTTCGTGCTGGATATTTACTGCCCTCTTGTGGTGGGCTTTATTAATGTAAACATTCCAAAAAGTGACATAATTTCAACTAGAAGCCAAACTTTATATTGAAACTCTGAAATACATGATAATTACTCTCTATCGTTGAAATTTTGCCCCAAAAATATACCCTTGGTATATTTTGCAAATATCGTTATCGTTCACGTGTTAATGTCAGTGCAGTCCCTATGATATCGACGGTGCTCAAAGATTTTAGTGTCTCAGTCTCACACAGGTATCGCATATTGTTCTCCTGTTCAAGCGCTTTAAGTGTTAGTACGCAAACTTTGGTCATGCGCGAACTATGGCCACACTACCATACTTTTTCTTCTTTTATGTTAGCATATCCTGTTGGTGTTACATGATACGGCTTTATCTACAGCAGGGCAATTCCATGGTAACGGAAGGACACTCAGACAAGATTTTTGAACTTCAGGTTCATACTAAAAGAAATGTTTTATTAGTATGTATTAAACTATGGGGAACAAAATGTGTTTCAGTCAAGTGGAAAGCTTCATCAACTTCACAAAGTTTGGATAAACACTAATTAACTGGAAAAACCATGTCCATTTTTATGTCCTTCCGTTACCAAGATAATTAATATGCACATTCTTAAACTACTTAACTATAATGACAATTTTTTTGGGGAGAATTAAAGGCACTTATATAGGTATTATATCTGTACTGTTTCACATCTTATACTAATAAAACAGTTCTTTTAGTATGAACCTGAAGTTCAAAAATCTTGTCTGAGTGTCCTTCCGTTACCGTGGAATTGCCCAGCATTAATATTTTGTTTTCTTTGATGTTCTGATATATACTAGACATTAATGCTAGAAATTAATCTACATTTGCCAGTCTTCCCCCTGGTGATGTAAATGGGTTTCCGATAGGTAGAAATTCCTCAAATGCCAGAGCCCTTTATCAAGGTAGCTCGGCTCATGCCGGGGTAATATTAGTGCAGCACTTAAAAGCATTAGTATTAAAGCACTACAGGTAGGTAAATGTTACTATTATCATTATCTATTATTACTATGCTATAGGCATGCAAGAAAAAACCTGAGCAGTTTCCAGCTTTCTTCCGTCAAGTTCTAGAGCTTACTTTGGGTTCGTTAAAGGATCAGACAATCTCACTGAGAGAACGGACAGTGCTTCTCATCTTCCTCATTCACTGCTTTAACAGTCTGGTAAGTGATGCCTTGCAACATCCATTCTCAAATCATTCTTTCTTTACACATCTATGGGTATTTAAAGAACTACTTACATTTGGGGTGCTCAGTGTACAGTGTATGATCCAGTCTACATTGTTCTTGCCAGCAAGATACCCTCGAAAGGAAAATTGTGAGGTATTTCTTTTTTAAAGTGTGAAATGCGTAGATGATTAGTGACATACTTAATGCTTTGTTTCCAAAAGGAAGAAGATTAACAACAACAAACAAAATTAAGAAAAAGAAAGATTTTTTTTATCCATTTTTTTTTTGATACTCGAAACAGTTATCACATTACTTGAAACTATTCACTGTTTTTGCTAGAAAACTCTCTTGCTCTTTGCTGTCAAGATTTTTTGAAATAACCAATTACTCCATCTCAAAAGTGGTTTTGATAGATTTCTTTTAGATGACACCTTGTTTTTACGTGAATGGTATATGGTTATATTGCTATTAAACATGATCTCTCTTGTATATGTACCTGTAGGAAGTGGATGTAATACGAGAGCAAGTCCAGAGGCTTGTATCCCTACCCATGTGGGTGTGTCTCCTACCGGTAAGTAACATCAACATTGACCACTTATCGGATGCCCTTTTATATGTTCCACTCTACCACTGTACAGGTTCTTTACTTTTAACACTTTGGTCTATTCTAATATTTGGGTAGACTTGTGTGAAATCTGTTTGTTTGAACCAAAAGGGGACCAGCACTCTAGTTCTAGGCCCCTGCTTTATAATGAGTTGCAGTCCCCTATCTTTTTTAAAACATAGTTGCCATTGGTATCAATCGCAAATAAGTTGTATAATTGATTAATATCAACTCTTTATAAGACGGGGCCCTGAATGAATCTATGTATATTGCTAAATTGAGTTAACCCCCATCTGGTTTTCAGCAGATGATAGTTTGATGCAGCTAATAGAGAAATTGAAACACATTGTCTTATTGCCATATTTTGTTGTTGACGAACCTGTGTAGAAAGATTGATGATTATAGTTAAACTACGTCAGAATTTAAGATTTGAAATGAGAAAACGTAACCCTTTGACTGCTGCTCTTTTCACAAACAGGGAAGGCTTGAAGCTGAGCTGAAGGCCTACCCCAAATACAAGAAGTTCTGGAAGATCATCATGAAAAATGATGCCAAACTAGATGATGAGACGAAGAAGAGGTAAGATCACACTTCATCAGGGATTTGAGAGAAACCTATGGTTGTTCCTATGACGATCGATGATGACCGTTGATGGTTTTACCTGACTGCTATTTAATAAAGAAAGCATGTACAAGCTTGGAAGTAAACAAGCAGGGAACCGATGGCTTTAAGCCCTCTCTGAGGGACTTGGTAATGAGGATTTATGCCTTACCACAGGGCATGAGCACATTGACTTGGTTTCGAACCCGGGACCTCCCGGTTACAAGACCACACTACTCTACCACTGAGGCTTTGCGTCTCTACAAAACCATGACTATTATCTTTATTATCATCAAGGGCAATGAGGTTTTAAGAGGAAGGTGCTTTTACCGAAAACAAAAAAAGATAACATTTTAAATTTCATGACGTTTATTAGAGTCTGAATTACATCAAATATGACCTTCTATGTGAGGATCTAACTAGCAATTCTAGCATGCTCATTTTATGTAATTTTTGAACTACTCTTGCCCTTTACCTCAGCAAAAAGATCTTCTGACTTCATATTTATATTTCTCATTATTTTCCATGATTTCTATTTGTTCCCACATTACTGCTTGATTAATTTGTCCTCATTTTATGTCATGACAGGAACGACTTTGAGCGGAGGTTTCTTGCTAACTTGATCCAGCTTTTCTATACGATATTGGACTCCATCCAAGAGGAAGGTAGATATATGCATGCAGATGAACCAGACATAGTTATCTAGAAAAGAATAATTGATGATATTAATGATATATTACTCGGTTAATTGATTTGTGCAACAAAAGATAGGGATGAAGTGTCAGAATATGATTCATTCGGGAGATTGCCAAAGCAGCATCTACTGATAAATCATAGCATCATGTATTCATTAAAATTGCTTTCCGTCTAGGTCATTCATGTCAAAATTAATGTCTAAAGTTCACATTTGATTATACGCTTCTAGTTTTCATTGTATGTGACAAATAATTCCATCCATCTCCTATACTGAATTTAGGGCAGAGGCATATGGGATACGCAGTTGTATTTGTCTTTTTGTATCAGCCTGATAATCAATATTTTAATTCATTCAACTTTTCTATTTGTAGGATCACACAAGGTACATGGATATGATTGCTAATGCTTTGAATGATAGAATCCAGTGTTTTAGAAATATATAGAATTATATTTTAAATTCTTGAGTGTTTGTAAAGTAATTATGACACAATGTGTGTATTTTTGTTGATTGAATGTATTAAGAGCTTTGAATGGATATGCTCAGTTACTGCCCCCCCCCCCAGAATGTTGAAATGACCAATAAAGTGTAACTCCAATAGAGAATTAACCCAAAATAATCATGTTACTGTTCACAGAGATCATTGTAGACAGTGCTACAAAGAAACCTAAAGAAATCAGCTTGATTTTTTTCAATTTAAATAATATTTTGTTTAATTGCAGGTGATGCTGCAATGGACAAGGTCCATTTCTGTGAGCGCTTTGTGGAGATGATGGTAGATCTAGAGGTATGATATAGTTTTATTCTGCAGTCTTTTTTTTCTCATACTTGATGTTATGCAGTACGTGACCCACATAGGTACATCTTTGTTGTATTAAGTTTGTTTTGTTTTGCTGTCAAACCTGCCATAGATGGTAACTGTATGAAAGATACTCTGTATTGTAGAGCAACTGTTGAAAGTCCATATTCGTCAATTTGACCAAAGGATATGTTAATTTTGTCTCTAGAGGCACAAAAACCTGTACATTAAGGTCAAAAGTGTCTTAAATAAAATGGTATTAATTGATCAGATGATTTGAACTAATAAAACTTTCAATTTGCTCCACAATAAAGTTGTAATTCAGTTTTAAGGTCTTAAAAGTGTAATCATTCAAAAAGATTTGTTTTTAGGCTAACAAGTTTTTTTAAATGTCATGGATATGGGCAAGATACAGCTGTTATGAAGAATATTGATGTCTCCAGCATGTATAGAAAGATTGACTCTTTACAATTAAACACAATGTGATTTTAGTCTCTGTTCATACAGTTTCAAGTTTGAAGTTTATTTATTCCACATTTTACATAAAAAAACAGTTTTTATACAAGTGTATAGGAGTAGATTTCTCACACAAAAAAAATTAAAGATTTCAAATCAAGTATATTGTACAGAAAATAAGTATGAAGTTTCAAAATATATAGATATGACAGGCAAGGTAAAAACAATGTAAAATGTGGGGAGCCTAAATAAAAAGCATAGCTTGTATGTGAATAGGCTCCCGTACTGAGTAACACAATAAAGCAGGTCTGAATTTAAAAGGTATTATAGGAGGCAAAAACGGAGTAGTATATTGTATGCATGCTTGACACTAACTAGAAAACAGTTTGAATTAAGACTCCTAGTATAGTGAATCAGTAGATAGTAAGCAAATTATTACTGTTGGTGAAGGTGATGAGAAAAACTATCACTTCCGAGGCGATCTGGATGTAGCTATCCTTCCGAAGCAAAGCTGAGGAAAGATAGCGTATACATTCTGATCGACGAGGAAGTGATAGTTTGCCATTGCCTGAAACCAAAAGGTGATTGTTTGCTTTATATTCCACATCTAACACAATTTTAACTACAAAAAGAAAAGGACGTGTATGCATCTACATAAAATACACCTAGGCCCAAATTCACACCCAAAAAGTTTAAGTTTAACCCAACCCCTTGAGGGTACGGTGCGCGCATGTGTTTTCTTTTATTGCGTGCATTGGTAATGCGCGCTTAATTACGCCTGTTTTAGTGCGCTTTTGGATAATCTTCAGTGAAAGTGCGTTGCACTGTGTAGATAGTACCTCTATCTTCAGTGAAAGTGCGTTGCATTGTGTAACGAACTTTTTGCTTCTCCCATCAATAATGGGCGAACTATCTTTCATCACATGATTTACTTTTGACCAATCGTAGAGCAAGATTCTTAGTATGTGGAATATATAGGCTAATAACTTCAGAATAATAACAGATTTTAAATCATGTGAGATAAAGAAGCAATTTACATGGGAAAAAGTATGAAGTAAGAACAGATAAACCTTTCAAACATAGATTAGAATTTGCATCATTTCTTTGTTTATTTGTGTTCTTTGAATCATGAAGGCTCAGCTTCCAACGAGGAGGTTCTTCAATGCTGTCATGGATGACGCCCATGTAGTCGTTCGATGTCGGCTGTCTGCACTAGCAAAGAGGAAGGAAGGCAAGCTGTTCAGTGAGGTTAGCAGCAATGAATTGGATAACACCTGAAACATGATAGGCAAAAAGTAGGCCCTAATGTGTTTTTTTCTTCTCAATATTGGGAGGTTATTGAAGAAAAAAATGTTTGAAAAAAGCACAGATAAACAAATCTTGTCCATGTTTTTTTCAAATACTTGCCTCTGAATTTGTTCCGTATAAAGACAATTTATCTCTTAGAAATTTCATTGGAAACATGTTTTGAAATCGGGTAAATCTTGTTGACTGACAAGTTATGAAATCTGTTTAGTATTGATCATTCTGCCTATTACTTATATTTTCTGGAACACCCTTTTTATATGTCTGTTTCATGACAGCTATTGGACATGCTGACATTCTATGCTGGATTTGAGATCAAGGATTCCACAGGAACAGCTCTTACAGACCATGAGATGACTGATATACACTATGATAGGATAAGCTCTCTCCAGGTAAAACATCCTCTTTTATTTTGTTTTCCTCAGTGATAGTCATAATCTTCAAGTTAATGTGAGTGTTTTCTCATGATTTCTGAACATACTGTCCTATGTATTCAGGCAGTAGCCTTGGCTTGAATGTTTCTTTTTACACGCTTTCTGTTGTGATATTCAATGAATAAAGTGTGTGACAAATGAAAAAAATCTACCCTACCTCTTGCATCTTGTAACATCTTGCAATCCAGCTTCTAGAGTTTTATGATAGATCTATACAAGATTTTCAGGTGCAAAGTCTTGAATGTTGCCTTATTCATGCTTTGTTTCATATTTGCATAGGAAAAGAAATAGGATTTTTTTTTAGTTGAAGAAATATGACTAGACTGTCACTTTGTTATTCAATGTATACTATTGTTGTGTTTTATGCAGAGAGCTGCCTTCAAGCTCTTTCCAGAGCTGAAGAGATTCGCAATGTCAAATGTTGCTAGTATTGATACAAGGAAGACACTCACCAAGCACTTTACACAACTAAGGTATGGACAGACTATTGGTTTATTTGATGTGAACGTCTTTTTAAGCTTGATAATTTTTTGGAAAATTTGTTCATGTAGTTATGTGGTTCTGTATTTTGCCCATACAAGTCATTTTATAGAAGCTCATGAATGTGTATCATAACTTGACTTGATTCAGAATTTGGAATTTTGAGGTTTAAAGACCTTGTGTTACCACAGCTAATAGGGAACATATTTTTAGCTTCATCAAGTGTAGCAAGTATATGTGCTAGAGAGACACTCATTCAATGATAGGATTAAAATACTCCAATGGCTATTTCTTTGCTTAGAGCCAGAAGGGCATTAACAACCCGTATGTGTAAAATTATATGAGTTAATGCCCTTCCGGCTGCAAACAGATGTAGTAGGAGACCAGCCTGTAAGTCCCGTGACCAATCTCTGGGAACAAAGGTTTGAAAGTGCTTTTGTGTTCCCTGATGAATACCGGTGAATTTGACCACCAGTCTAAAGTGCATTGACCTTTTTGACCATAGCGCCCTCATTTAAGGTCGGAGGTGTAACAAACTATACATTTTTTGAATCTTCATGACCAGACGAGTAATTTGATATGCAATTTAATAAGGTTAAATGTGTTGGTGAATTTGACCACCACTCAAAAATGTGTTGACCTTTCAACGTTTTTTACCATAGCGCCCTCATTTAAGGTCAGAGGTATAGCAAACTATATATTTTTGGAATCCTCATGACCAGACAAGTAATTTGATACGCATATCAAAACCATTTGAATATATTTGAATTTTGACCCTGTATGACCTTTGTTGACCCCTCACGAAAATGCCCGGGATTTTCAAGGGGGCAGCCCAAGTCAAAATTGTTCGGTATTCATCAGGGAACACAAAAACACATTCAAACCTTTGTTCCCAGAGATTGGTCACGGGACCTACAGGCTGGTCTCCTAGTAATGTATGATAGATTTCTTGCAAACTTTTTCTAATCCCACAATATACTACAGATGATTCACTGAATAATATGAAATCTTTTTATTCCTCAGTGCATCAGACCTGCATCATTTCGCTGCCTTCTTGCATCTGCTGCCCCCACTTGGTGATGATGAGGAAACCACAGTAGAGAAGACATTCCTTTTAGATCTCATGGTAAGATTCATATTTAACCGAGAAAAATATTGATTTATTTTTATCTGTAGCTCTAGTGAGGTATTCGTAAATGATGAATCTTCAAAGAGATATCATGACATATTAGATCCTGGTTAAATTAAAAAACAGACTATTAAAAAAAGAGTTTTAATACTGCTGTAACATACTGTTATGTCCATTAGAATGCAAATGAAACAAGTGTTAATTCAATGTTTTTGCCTAGCTTCACTTTAATATATTTTGATGTTTTGTGATAAATATTTTCTTACTTTGGCTTTATACATGTATGTTTATTATCTTCTTTGTGGAAAAACAATGTATATATGAAATATATTTATATATTGAAAAGAGAACGACAAACTTCCTGTGATAGTTTGTTTCAAATGATACTGTGTGTGTGTCTAGTCTCTGTAATTAGGGTTATCTTAATTCAGATTGTTTGTCATTTTGTTCATACTTGTCATTTTTTTCCTTTGCACTCAGGTTTCCCATCACGAGAGAAGGATCTCTCAAATCCAATCATTGAATGAGACACCTCTCTACCCGACAGAAGAGATTCTTTGGGATGAGAATGTGGTTCCTACTGAGTACTACTCTGGGGAAGGTATGATCTATTATTCCTTTTCTCTTTTTTAATGAATTATATTTCTTACGTTTCATCTTTGTTGCTCACATAGATGATTATACATTTTTTTAAAATCATTTTCTGCCAAATGTATACTTTTTTAAATAATCTAGGTTCAGTCAAGTTTGGTCTGATGAATATTAATAAGTTTAAAATTACATACTGTTTGAAGAAGATTTTTCAATATCATAATTTAGCAGGTTATAAAATTTGTAACATGTTCTTGTAGATGTAACATGTATACTTGTTTTGTAAATCTTCGGAACATTTGAATTTTATAGTCAATCCTAAACTGTTTTGCTCTGTTCCTATATAGTGATTGCATAATGGGTGGTGACAATAAATGAAATATTAAATTTTGAGATACCTTAGTTCACTATTAAAGAAAATATTTATGGTACTGAACTTTATGAAAAAAAGATATTAAAGGTACTTATAGTAGCATCTCGAACTCAGTTGCTATTTGTGTAAGTATTAAATTAAGACGAGCACATCGATCATACCATTCTGATGGACAGCTGGACATGAACCCATATTTTATTCCTAAACTATTTCTCTGTTTTTTTCTTTTAGGTTGCCTTGCCCTTCCGAAGCTGAATCTTCAGATGCTCACTCTCCATGACTACCTGCTAAGAAACTTTCATCTCTTCAGACTAGAATCCACATGTAAGTTCAACACTGTAAAACACATTACCCTGAATTCACAAAGGAGGTTTAATTGAAACCATGGTCAAAAACTTAGTGTAAACCTCTACAGTGGATTAAAATGAGCATATTTAAGCATATTATTGTGTACCCATTGGACGTATACAGACTACACTTATGGAGGTTTAAACTATGGGTTAAGATATATCTCCTGTGTGAATTCAGACCATTATCTTTTATATATTTTGTACTTCTTAAATTACTACATTTATGTTAATACGGTGGGTTCACAATCCACAGCGCCATCTAGCGACACCAGTGTTTAGTCAATTTCATGTAATGCATCAGGGGAAAAATTCAACATTGTATCAGCTATGACTACGTGTTGTATATACCCTGGTCTTGCAGATAAGGCGATTTAATCAGAATTTTGGTGGGGAGGGTTTAAATAGCTTAACCGGGAGTAAAATTTTGCGCTGATTCCAAAAATGTCTTATTGACCCTACTCACAATATTTTGAAATGAAAAATTGGCCTTCCCCGGCTTGACGGTGGGGGCGAAATTAATTGTGAATTCACCCTATTGTCCTCCTTCAAAATGTGCTTTGTATATTTTACTTTTAACACTGTCATTGTTTGAGTAGTTTATGTTTTATGATGATGATGCAGCAACTACATTTCATATGCAAACCCTGTTTACTGAATGGCATTACATTCTTGTAAAGTGATATGTGAGTGACGAAGATCATGGCTTCTACTATACAATGGCTTCCTTCTACATGTATATACTAATCACTCTCTCTTCTTAGATGAGAATAGATATCTCTTGACCCGTACTTTACAATGACTTCTTTCTTCCCATCACTCTCTCTTCTTAGATGAGATTCGACAAGATGTAGAGGATGCAGTGCTGAGAATGAAGCCCTGGAAGGCTGAAGATGGTAGCTGCTTCTTTGGAGGATGGGCACGTATGGCACAGGTAAGCGTTACCATGACCATGTTCAGCTAGCTCCTTACCGGTTTGATTTGCCATGTGAACAGGCCATGACCATGCTTTCAGCTAGCTCCTTACCGGTTTGATTTGCCCTGTGAACAGGACATGACCATGCTTTCAGCTAGCTCCTTACCGGTTTGATTTGCCATGTGAACAGGCCATGACCATGCTTTCAGCTAGCTCCTTACCGGTTTGATTTGCCATGTGAACAGGCCATGACCATGCTTTCAGCTAGCTCCTTACCGGTTTGATTTGCCATGTGAACAGGCCATGACCATGCTTTCAGCTAGCTCCTTACCGGTTTGATTTGCCATGTGAACAGGACATGACCATGCTTTCAGCTAGCTCCTTACCGGTTTGATTTGCCATGTGAACAGGCCATGACCATGCTTTCAGCTAGCTCCTTACCGGTTTGATTTGCCCTGTGAACAGGACATGACCATGCTTTCAGCTAGCTCCTTACCGGTTTGATTTGCCATGTGAACAGGCCATGACCATGCTTTCAGCTAGCTCCTTACCGGTTTGATTTGCCATGTGAACAGGCCATGACCATGCTTTCAGCTAGCTCCTTACCGGTTTGATTTGCCATGTGAACAGGACATGACCATGCTTTCAGCTAGCTCCTTACCGGTTTGATTTGCCATGTGAACAGGCCATGACCATGCTTTCAGCTAGCTCCTTACCGGTTTAAAGTCCAACTGCACTACTTATAACTACTTGCACCCTCTGTATAGCAAACCATGCGTAATTGGTGCCTGTTGGTCCTCCATGATCCTCTTTTCCTTATGTTAATTGAGAGCTGAGTTGATGAGATAACCACCTGTCAGTGACCTTGCAGGGAGGTCTAATCCCCCTGGTCAAACTAGTACAGATGAGCTTTAAATTACCATGCAAACAGGCCTTTACAGGCAATCAATATTATGTGGTATATACAGAAACTATATATTGTAATACCTTTGTGATATAATGGGGGATGAAGCTGTCAATCTGGTGACCCAACAATTGCTGTGGCGACATTTACTCCAGGCTTTATTTCATCAAAGGTATAGGGTTAGGGTCGGTATAAAGTTGTATATACCGGTACTTGTCTTGTTCAGGATTGACTGTAGGGCAATGATGCAGGAACTAGTTTAGGATTTCTTTCCTAGTGTCCTTGAATTTCAGATGACTTTAGTTTTCGTCCAATTTGATAGGATTTTAAAGTTATCGGAAGGTATTAAGAGTTAATATATTTATATATATATAAGAGGTAAAATATTTCTTCTTGCTTGGACATGAGATTGATCTTATTCTAAGATTATATTCATATATAATCATACATATCCAAATTAATTTCCTACTAGACATGAAATCTACAAACTGGGAAGATGTTGTGTTTACATGCCATCTCGCCCCCTTCCTCTTTCTTCTCCTTACACTTCCATCTCTCTCTCTTCTCTCACCTCTCACATTAAACTATTGATTTTTATTGTTTTATTTTTCTGTTCGTCTGCAGGCAATTACATCGTTCTCGGTAGTTGAGGTAAGAAATTGTTTTGGTTATCAAAAGATAAAATGATATGAAATGAAATAATTTCAAATTGTTCGTCATCAACATATAAATGTATTATGAGCATTTAGCAGATGGGTTTTAAGCTATTAAGTACAATTTGAGTTTGATGTAAGTCATATTTTCCTTGGAATTTTACTCTTAGGCTTGGTATTCAATTGGTCTAATGTGAAAGGAGACAAACTATACAAATTTCTTTACCTTATTTATTGTGGTAGTATCGAGTTTTTAGGCTGACTGCAATATTTCTTGATATTCTGTGTGTTTCCCATTTTCAAAATTCTGTTCATGCACATGTGTGCTTGTTTTCTTGTGCAACTATTCATTCTTTTGAAATCTCAGGAATTCATTAACAGTTTGTGATGTTTGTTCTTTAGATCTAAGATTATGATTTGCAAATGTTATCAATATTGGGTCAGTTTGTTGTTGTTTTATATCACTATTTGAAATTGATTTTCGTACTACATGTTTAGGATGATTTATTTGTGTCAAGTATTCTTTTTCTACAGAGATCCTTACGGCAGTTATTTAATAAATGCTGAGTTTTAAATAAATTACAAATAAATGTGATTATTTTGATGACTCTTGCAGGTTTCTAAACCCAACATTGGTGAGAACCACCCAGGCAGCGTGAGAGCTGATATCACCTTGACCCTAAACCTCCGTCAACATATCAAGTCAGAGTGGGAATGTAAGAAATCATGATATACTTTTTGCCCTCTCATTAACTGAAGCTTCTTTTGAAATCACGATTATGTCCTTTCATTTCAGATGTATTTAGAGATACCTGAGTTTGTAGTAACTTTGTAATTTCAGTTTTTAGTGACATGTGCATGTACAATTACATTATTATCATTATTATTATTTATTTTTTTTAAACCTGAGAGTAGTGTTTATTAGTGCAAATGTGCAAAAGGGAAGCTAGACGAGTTGAAAAATATGGTGATTCAAATAAATGTATGATGAAAATACAGAAAAGAATGTTATATGTATCTTTGGAGTTTTGCCACAAAACATCTGTATCAGCCTAGATTTTTAGTGAATATTGTCACTGATAAGGAGCTCCTGTATATAGGATCTCCTCTCTGTTAAAATGCTAAATAGGCTCATTGTTGGTGTATAATATTGCAGTAATCTAATCTAATGAGAAGAACTTCCCTACTTCAGACTGTTATTGACAATGGTATTCATATCCGTGTTTGTTTCATACTATCCAGCACTGAGGAAGCATGATGTAGCCTTCCTTGTCACGGTCCGACCAACCAAGAGGATTGGTAGCACCTTCAACAACAACAAGAACAAGAACAACAAGAACAAGGAGGACTTCATTGACCAGGTTGGAATCGCCTACGTCCGAGGGTGTGAGGTAGAGGGGCTTTTGAATGAAAAGGGAGAAGTGATTGAAGAAGGTATGCACAACTGAACAGTTTACTTCTGTACCATTAAAGGGATAGTTGAGTTCTGTTGCAGAGGGCGCAACACAAATCATTTTTTTGTGAGATAATGAAAAACTGAGTGTCAAATTTGAAAGAACATACAATTTAAATGACAAAATCATCCTTGTTTGATCAAAATCGGTTCAGAGACGGCTGAAATATCCATAATTATATAACAATTTCTAATATTTGTGGAGCTGAATTGGTATGATCGTATTGGCTAAATTTCACACATTTGGGGTAAAAAATTACCTTTTAGCAATTTTAGGTCTTCAAAGGGCACCAGAAATGTCACAGATACGACGATGAGCAATAACCATGCCCTTTGAAGGCATTTGCGGTCTGAAAACAGAACTCGACTATCCCTTTAAGTATATGAATTCATTATTACATATATTTAGATCGAATATGAAATTTCTTTTCCCATGGACCCATTCCTCTTTGAGTATTGAAGAAAGTAGCAAATCTCTCTGACCAAATGTTTGTATAATTGAGGAAAGAAAATGCAGATTGTTGGATTTTGCGTTGTTTAGCGAGGACCTCGAGATTGGGCATTGCTGGTTTGCATCTAGAGTGTTTTTGTGTGGTGATAAGACTTTTATGATATGGTTCATGGAGCTCAAAGTATCATAACATTATTACTGATTTTCATACATTATTACTGAGCATTAGATTCATTGTATGTGCAGTCGTAGTGTGCATGTAAGGCAAATAGAGGCAAATGCAAATGTGTACTATGACAACAAAATGGGGCCATGTGTGACATTAAAAAAAAAATACTACATTGATTAATGCAATGCTCCCTCAGCAGATCTTTGAAGATGCTTAGGTATACATATCGAGGGGTCAGTGACACAAAGACGTAACTCCATTTTAGCCATTTTGAAAAAAAGTGGTTCGAGTGTTACTGAGCACTTGGGCCTTAAGGAGTTAAGTCTATGTTTCACTAGCCATTGACTTCAATGGGGTGTTTCCTGGAAAGCCCACATTTTCTGAACATTTAGATATTAAATACTCATTTTGGCAAAATATGGAGGTACGTCTTTGTGTCACTGAACCCTCAATATTTCTTTTTTTGACCAACTTTGTTATATGTTCAGGTCCAGAACCCAAGCCAGATTTTACAGGTATCACCAGGACATACAGAGTATGGCTGGACTCTAACCAGTACCAGAAGGACATGGCTAAGACAGCGTCTTCTGGGACAGAGGATGTCTATGAGAGCTTCAATATCATGATGAGAAGGAAACCAAAGGAAAATAACTTCAAAGTATGTCAAAGTTATCCATAAGATCAAGTGTAACTTCTTTTCAGATTCAGATTTCAAGAGATTTGTTTCCTTTATGGGACATTCCATGTCAAATCACCCAATGGTTTTAACCCGACCATTTTTTATTTTGATGAAACTTCGTGTACTTGTTGAGTGTGATCTCACAGCACCAAATCTCAAATTTTAGGTAAATCGGGTGAGGGGTTTGGGAGATACTGCTCACCAAATTTTGAGATTTTTGGCAAAAATGGGGGTGGCCGTCTGCCTTTGAACCCTTATATCTCGGGAACTAATGGGTCAATCGTCAGAAAATTGGTATTGTAGGACAGGGAATTTAACAAGAATAAGAATTATATTAAAATCAGCAGATTCTTTGGGTGATTTGACCCTCAAGAACAATGTTATTTCAATAGATATGTATAGTTCGGGAGGGGAAGTGTTTTTGAACGATTATTATCACTGCCCTCATCTTTGTATTTCAAGCCTATGCACAATGTGTGTACAAAGTCCGCTTCCTGGGGGATTGGTATTCCTAGCCTACACATGTATGCACGATTCTCCTGAATATATCCAGGCGACCTCTGTGTCTATAGTAATTCATGGACTTACCCGTTGATTACTAAATCCTCATATTCCTCATAGGTTAAATACAGAAACCACCCTGTGCCAGTATTTATCTCTCAAGTACGAGAGGGCAAATTCACAGGTATGCTTTGCCAAAGATGATATTGCTACGACTGAGATGTCAGCTTGGATCCGTTGATTTAGTGTCTGATGATGCATTTGCTCTACCACATCTCTCCACGAGAGGGAAATAATCTCATGAGCTATTCCTAGTCCTAGGCCTTCTGTTCTGATGTAATGAATATTCGTCTGTCCCCACTTGTAGGCTGTACTGGAGACAATCCGTGACCTGATGAACACTGACTGTGTAGTACCTGACTGGCTACATGACATCCTACTGGGGTATGGAGACCCAGGAGCAGCTCACTACTCAAAGTAAGACAATACCAGGCCAGTGTTTCACAATATCGGCTTAAGTAAAAGTTCTGGCAATGACATCCCATTGAAATGCATGTATTAAAAGTTTCAATGGGATGTCTGTGCACTTGCATTTATGAATGTTTTTGTAAAGTGATGTTACTTAATAATTTCATAGTGATGTCTGTAAAGTTATAAATTTGAAAGGGATATTACATGATTGTATTATTTCAGAATGTAGATCAAACTGTTTTCTATCATTAAAACATACATTTAAGTTTATTTGATACTTATTTGATACATTTTATTCTGATTGTGATACATTTCAAGTTAATTTCAAATGGAAATATGAAGAGCATGAATTTAAAAGGTCCAACTTCAAAGTTAACTTGTTCAATGAATGCACATTCCAAGTAACATAAATGATTACCGTTCCTACTTCTGCTACTATTTATCTTAACCTGTAAATTTGATTATTTTATCCCTGTTTTGGGATCCATTTTACAGGATGACCAAGCAGATTGCAACTTTGGACTGGAATGACACCTTCCTGAACGCTGACCATCTCAGGGCTAGCTTCCCAGACCATTCGGTCAAGTTGATGACAAATGACCCAGCTAAACTAGTGCCTCCTTTTAGGTCAGTAATACTCATATGAGGTGTATTGTTTGTGAACTAGCTCCAAGTCAAAGTCAGAGATAGAAATTAAGAAGGTATATAAGCTGCTTGTGCTAGATCTCATCTAGTGGATGCAGTGAGCAAGGTCAGCATGGAGGGCTAGTATACACAACTGAACATGAACATATTCAGCTAATGACAAACTAAGATTTGCATAATAATAACACATCAAGGTGGCAATACTTATACCCTGCCCTAGTCTGTATGTTGGCCTTGTTTATTATTAGTATTTATGCTGGCCGTTTTTCTTCAGGCATAGTGCTATGGGGGCTGCTTTTTGCCTCGAAAACTGTATATATCAGTGGTGCTAGAGTGTCACTAATACTGTATGTGAAATATGAAGGGAAAAAAATATTGTCCAATTGACGATTGCTCAAGTTTAACTTAGATAGATTATTTTTTTAATTCAACTTTAAAAACAAACAAAAATATCTAATTCTATAAAAGCAATGGATGCTAGGATATCAATGCATATACTATTAACCCACAGCAGTAGTACCAGTAACTTTATTTGCTTGTTTAGCCAAGTGCTACTGGTATGAAATTTCAATATATATGCTATGATGCTTGGCACAGACAGACAATACATAAATCTCCCTTTTTTCTCTCTACAGGATAACATTTCCAGATGCTGAGAAAGGAGGTTCTTCAGGGAAGAAACGCAAGAATGAGGACACCTCTCAGACGAAAGCCAAGAAAGAAATCATTGTGGAACCCCACATCATCCCTAACCGAGGCCCTTATCCATACAACCAACCTAAGAAGTAAGTCATCATATTTGCGATCTTTTTTCTTATTTCAAAAGAAATATTAGGTCTTATTATTTAGCAGACATTGATAATTCTGTTTATTGCTAAAATTGTTTTCTTCCCCAAACAGCAATTTTGCCCAAATGTCTGAAATTAGTTATCCCTCTGCCTATAGGAACTGGTTGATCCCATATTATGCCTATGGGAATTAGAGTATCCAGTTGTTATTGGGTTAACTATGGTTTTGTGTTGTTCCTGAATCCATGTTAACTCAACATTCAGTCAAAGGGAAGAAGAATATGACTTAAACATACAGTTGAATAATGTTTAATTGAAGGGAACTCATTTGCTTAATATATTTTGAATGATGCAGGGTTGTAAATATTAGTTTACTACCTTCTGTGTATTTTTGTTTCTTTCTTCAGGAATGCAATCCAGTTTACCCCAACACAAGTAGAAGCCGTCAGAGCTGGCATGCAACCAGGCCTTACAATGGTAAATCTATTCAGTTTCATACCAGATCAATTATCTTCTTACACTATTGTCTGCTAAGTAATCATGTCATTTAAAATAAAAATAGGTATTCATCATGTTGTCACAAAGCATTTCAAGCGTAAAGTCACATTAATATTAAAGAAGGTGGATCCAGGAAATGTTGTACGGTAAACTAGAGCACAATTAAAAAATGGGGGTAATATTAATTACAAAAATCATCACCATTATCTATCATAACTTCCAGTAAAAGTAACACTTGTTTGATGGGTGAATAGCATTGTAGTTTGTAGATAAGGATAGGAATGGTGACATTTTGTTTTTTCCTCTCGTGATGATAGGTTGTTGGACCTCCTGGAACTGGTAAGACAGACGTAGCTGTTCAGATCATCTCCAATATCTATCATAACTTCCCTGAGCAGAGGACCCTCATCGTCACACATTCCAACCAGGTAAGAACAGGTGCAAAGTCTGAAAGTGACAGATACCTGATCCCGGCCCCCCCCACTCCGAGAACGGACGGACCCCATGCGTGTTGCCAAAATGTCCTTTTCGTAACAAAAGAAAAAGGTTGACCCGTATTGACTTTACACACCGGACTTATGCTGAAAAGGGGGGGTCGGTTGGAACACGCATATGCGTACCCTAAATAACACTGAGTGGGGGGGGGGGGGGCGGGTACCTGATAAAACTTATCTTCAGTGATAACAGTTACCTTGTATTTCTTTGATTCCACTCAGTTCATATAAGCTACCACTAACCAGGATGTACATGTATTATATTCCTATCACAGTCACTCTATCTACAGATAACTTCTCTATGAAACTTGCAGCCTCGAAGAAGAAAAAATAAGTGTTAACTACATTTGTTCAGATACACATTTTTTTCTTCTTCTTTAAATTGATTTGGAGTAAATGATCATGGAATTTTACCATATTTTATTTTATACATTTATTAGCGAAACCATGTGATTACTTAATTTTGAACTAATAAATATTACAAATCATAGCCAAATGGCAAAAAAACATTTCTTCTTGAAAGATGTACTAGAGGAAACTACATAAAGACCACTTGCCTATAAAGATGACTTTTCTTGTCTTTATTTTCACTGTAATTTCATTTTTCATTTTGGTTTGTCTCTTTCAGGCTCTGAACCAGTTGTTTGAGAAGATCATCGCATTGGATATCGATGAGAGGCATCTGTTGAGGTTGGGTCATGGTGAGGAGGCACTGGAGACAGAAAAAGATTTCAGCAGGTAAGCTTGAAAAGTGAAACGCACCATCTGATTTAAGGTGGTATTTGTGATAGCATTTTATTTGAACATGGAAGCATACCAAATTTTAATGGCCAAGGAACGTAGAAGTCATTTGATTATTAAATGTAAATTTCATCTGATTTAAGTTATTATTTGTGATAGCACTTTATTTGAACATTGAAACATAAAATCTTAATGACCAAGTAACTGAAAAATCATTTGAATATTAACATCTAAATTTTGAACACATCTTCATCTAACTTAGACCAAGGGGATCAAAATGAAGTATTGAGAAATCAGTCCATTAATTTCCAGTTTAAGGGTTAAACGAAGCACTCTCTGTTGGTGTAACCATACGCATTGAAGAATGGACTTATGAAACAGAATGTATTTGTCAAACCATCAGGTACGGTCGTGTGAACTATGTGCTTGGTCGTCGCCTGGAGCTGCTCAAGGAGGTGGAGAGGTTACAGGAGAGTCTTGGAGTTCCTGGTGATGTGTCATACACCTGTGAGACAGCCGGTCACTTCTATCTCTATCAGGTAGGTACATGTAGCAGTAGAGAATGGCATGTCATTAAAGGGATTGAGTAACTTTGCTTCAGATTCTTAAAAAAATCCTGGATTTAGCTCATGCTGCAATCATAATTATATACTTTTAGGACATACATGAATTCATGACTTTTACAAGCCATTTCCATGTCTGATTATCAAGATATTTGTCTAAAATAAATTTGAGAAGAAATAAGAGAGTGAGGAATTTTTAAAGTTTTATCACAAATTGGCATCTCTGTGATGCACCTTCTTTGCATGAGCATATAAAGATCATTTGCACCCAATGGTATAGAGATATCGGCTGCTTTGAGAGGCATGGCTGTTTTATAGGCTCAGGGGGAACGCGCACGCATCCTGTCATGACCCTAGGGCGCGCCTCAGGGTCATGGCAGATGTGCTAGTTCCCGAGAACTTATAAAACAGCCAGACCTCGAATATTAAAGCAGTCGATATGTCTTTTATATGCTGAATTGAAACAAAAATATACCAAGAATTCTTACCTTAACCTTTTATTGAGTAAAGATTGGTTAAAACATCACAGAAAATCTAAGACAATGTCTGTTTATCTTCAATGGAAAAAATGACTGACAGTTTCAATCATTTGGGAATCGCGGACAAAAAGCACTGTATGGTGTCCTTGCTCGCACACAGACAATTTTTAACACGTAAAACCAATCGGGGATTGCAGCATGAGGGCACTTTTTAAAAGAAAAAAGGGTATGGCTCAAATCTTGACTGCAATTTCGACCAATCAGATGGCTAGATTTCTAAAGAGAGGTATATAAACATGCTTACTGATAGTTTCATTTATAGCATGTTTCTCTCCCTAACCCCTGGCTACCAGCCAAGTCATTCACCTGCCAAGAATAATGGCATCTTTATGGGTGGAATCTATTTTGCATACATTGGTCGTTGCTATATCGGACAGGCCTCTGGCAATCATTGTAGTTGTCAAGAGAAACCTTTGAGCAAGAAGTATGCATTAATTTGGGAAACATGTTTATTGTAAAACCTTTTGAGAAAACAAATGGATTTGAGCTCATTTAAGTTCTTTAGATTATTACTGTAAACAAGATACGCAAGAGACAGAATTCCTTTCAAATGGGAAGCAGAAGATAATCACGAATCATCTTAAATGTTTTGACCATGAAACATAGGTGGAAGTATTCCTTTTAAAGAGGGAAACAAAAGCTGTTTTTTTTATTATGTGAAGCATCTCCATCACTTTGAGCGTGAAAGAAAAGTGGAGGAATTCCTTTCAAAAAGAGTAAAGAAAAGCTGTGCATGAAGCACCTCATAACTTTAGGCATGAAACACAGGTGGAATGAGGTCCTCAATTAAGGGGGGGGGGGGGGGGACAGAAACTATTCATGAAGCATCTCATTAAATTAGGAGTGTTTCTTCTGGAATGCCCCCCTTCATTCAGTACATGGAATATTGGCTCATTTGCACCATGTACTAATTGGTCTAAAACAGTTGCATGCACACTCAATGTCAGCAGTGACTTTAGAGATGGCAGGGACCATTCTTAACTCTGACCATCCTTCTCCTTCTATATCAGGTGGTGGCACGTTGGGAGAAGTTCCTGAGTAAGGTGAAGCCTAAGGGTGGTAAGGAGGTTGCGGTTGAAGACATTGTCACTCACTTCCCTTTCCATAAATTCTTTGAGAATGCCCCCCAGCCAGTATTCAAAGGGGAGACCTACGTTCAGGACATGGACATTGCAGAGGTATGTACAACCACAATATATATGAAGAGGCTTATCCTTGTCAAATTGGCACCAATTATTTGTTATTGTTTTCTATTAAATTGTATGAGAAAAAATAAAATCTACATTAAAATGACCTGTGTAAATTAAAATTTAAAAATGCATTAAAAAATATCATATATTTTTGGCTTACTTGCAAAATCTAGAAACGGGCTACACGTGTGTAGATTTTTGACAAGTGCCAAAGTGATGCAAAACTTATCTTTGTGGTGAATTTGGGATAGGGCGATTAACAAAAATCTGAAAAGGCTGCTATGACTAAAACAAAAATAAATAAAAAGTTTTCGTGAAAATCTGATTTTTCTCTCCAAAATCTGATTTTTTAGGATGCTCAGTCTGTTTTTTTGTGTCAAGAGGTTGGCGTCTCTGATAATGCTATAATCTTCAATATGATGTATGTATTAAAATTTGAATGATGAATTGTATTTGCATTGTTTTCTAGGGCTGCTACCGCCACATCAAGAAGATCTTCCAACAGCTCGAGGTAAGGACATCTAATGGTTGGAATTTCTGTATTTTCACTTTAAATTTTGAGGATTTGTGTGCTGCATTTTCAGCGTTTCTACTAAGAACTCTTTGAAGTCGCCGTTTTGTTTAAACATTGTTCTCTTTTATATTTGGTATTCAGCTGTAAACATTCAATTTTTTACATAATTTAACTGTCTTTCATGCATTTTCTAATATTGACAGGGTAATTTATATTTTATTATAGAAATATTAAGTGATGAAAGTGGTAAATGAATACAACTGCAAATTACCAATTTGACAATCAGAAACAAACTTAATTCATTAAAGATTTCATTAGTTTTAAGTTTAAAAAAAGTATTATTTTCTACTACCAGTATTTGACAATATCTCATTAAAGGCGGTGCCATAATGCTAATTGGGAATTTTCAGGAAAGGTGGAAACGTACGTTATGAAAGTAAGAAAAACATGTTATTTAGCATGAGGCTAATGTGAAATGATAAGACTAACATCACATATCTCTCCTCCAACCAGGAATTCCGAGCATTTGAGCTACTGCGAAGTGGGAAAGACCGGTCCAAGTACCTCCTGATCAAGGAAGCCAAGATCATCGCCATGACGTGTACGCATGCTGCCCTCAAGAGACGAGACTTAGTCGATCTTAGGTTCCAGGTAAGTTCCTGTCTCTCCAACAGCAAATAGTGATTTACCATGGTCACTACGTCAAATAGAGACTTGAAATAACATCCTGACATAATATGATTTAGAAAATAAAAACATATTGAATAGATGGTATTCAAATTCAATTCAATTAAATTTCGGTTTTATTACAAATATACCAAATAAAAAGTCCAAAGACTAACAATAATTGGCTCACAATGTATCATATAAAAATGCATTAAAAACAGTAGATCTAAAAATTCAGTAATAAATTAAAGTACATTGCTCACATTGTATCATATAAAAATGCAATAAAAACAGTTCATTTAAAAATTCAGTAATAATTTAAAGTATGAAAAAAAAAGGGGGAAAAAATGATTGTAAATTATAAAATGGTGATAATCAGTTTGTCAGTGAATTGAGAAGAAAGAAGAAAGAAAGAGTGAAAAGCGGAAGAGAGGGAGAGGGAAAGGATAAAGAGAAAAAAGAAAAGAGATTTCAATTTATGACAAAAAAATGTAAGCAAATAAATGAGAATTGAGTTGATTCAGCTTAACAAAACATTGTAAAAGTAAAATGCACATATAAGGAAATGCCAAATGATACATTAATACGAATGCCATAATGGAATTGTTATTATACTGTTTAACATTGGTGAATGTCTATGACCTATACATATTGGTGAAAATTATTAATGAGTAATTATCACAGTGTCAGAAAATTGAGAAAAGGAAATACGAGACAGAAATAGAGTGGGAGAGGGGAGGAGGGAAAGGAGAAGGAGAAGCAGAAGGAGAGAGAAAAAGCTAGAGAAAGGGAGAAAGAGAAAGAGAGACGGAAAGAGGGAGAGAGTTCGAATAATGACAATACATTGTAAACAGGTCTAACAAGATTTCAGTTGATTGAATTTAGCAAATGAACAAGAGAGGGAACTGTCGATTGTTTGTAGCGCCGAGTTCTGCATCGTGGCAGGGACAAATGATCGAAGTTTCTTAAGCTGCGGCAAGTATTCACATGGCGCGGTTGTGGCAGGAGATGGCGGTGTCTTACAGAACCCAGAAGTGATTTCGCAAATTGCATGAGGATCTCAACACGTCGGCTATCAAGAGATGAAATGTCAAATTGGTGAAGAAGGTCATCATAGTCAGTCAGTCGAGTAACAAATCATACGAAGAGCTCTCATCTGTACTCGTTCAATTTCAGCATACTGGCGCAGGGTTAAACTTGATCCCCAAACAGGTACTGCATACTCTAGTATTGGTCGTATGTACACAGAGTATATGAACACGAGATCCTCCGGTTTGACACCAAACTTCTTGAGTTTACACAGAATGAAGAGGCGACGTGATGCATTTCCAACCATGCGTTTCACCTGCTCTTTCCATTTAAGATCATCCTGAACGATAACATCAAGAAGTTTAAAAGATGAGCAGGATTGCAAGGGTACATGGGGTATGTAATTTATTTGGTCGTTGTCTTGGTAATTAAACGTGGGAAGGGGGGGGGGGGGTAGTCAAACTATCGTCTACCTCCACCTCGGATTGTTAAGGAGGTATTTGACTAGCCCCTGCACAATATTTTCATCATTGTTATTGATATTTTTGTTATTTCCCCAACAGTATGATAACATCTTGATGGAGGAATCTGCTCAGATTCTAGAGATTGAAACCTTCATCCCTCTGCTTCTTCAGGTAAGCTAGTCAATTCAATGCAAACTCTTATATAATATCATCTTTGTGGAGTCGGGTTTACCTTAACACAGGCTTAATCACTTATTGCTCCAAGCAGCCGATATGTCAATGTAATGATAAATGATAAAAAAAGTTATTAATAAAATAATGCACATAATTACCATGAGGTCTAGAGTCTTGCAATAAGCACTATCATAGAAGCAATTTATGGATATTATTTAACAGGAAACAAGGAGATTTCTAATTAACATTCAAGTCTTCACATAATTGCATTAACATTTGAATGGCAATTGATGTTTTGGGTCCCAGCTATGGAAACTATGACTAATTAGTAGTTACAGAATGGCTTAGTCTAGAGAGATTTACCATTTTTAATAACGTTTGTGAACTCTTTGCTTCTACTTATCCACCATTTCATGATATATCTTTGGTTATTTTATGTTATCTCTTTGTTTGTCTTAGAGAATATAACATAGCCAATTATGTATAATTGAAGTGTACAAATACACAACAAGTTATTCTTCTGTGAACTGACCTACCAATGAAAAGCTATCAGATGAAAGTACATAAATTGCATACTCGACCCTATGTTTGGCATTCCAGAATCCTGAGGATGGTTTCAATCGATTGAAGCGATGGATCATGATCGGTGATCACCATCAGCTTCCACCTGTCATCAAGAACATGGCCTTTCAGAAGTTCTCCAATATGGAGCAATCTCTCTTCACTCGGTTTGTCAGGTTAGGGGTGCCTACCGTAGATCTGGATGCTCAGGGGAGAGCTAAACCAAGGTAGGAACAAAGAAAGAATCTTGAGAAAAATGAATATGATAATGGTGATGATGGTGATGATGGTGTTGTTGGTGAAGTCTCTCTTCACTCGGTTTGTCAGGTTTGGGGTGCCTACCGTAGATCTGGATGCAAAGGGTAGAGCAAGACTTAGGTAGGGACAAAGAAAGAATCTTGAGAAAACTGTATCATACTTGGGAATGATTATTGTGATGATGGTGTTGTTGGTGCAGCCTTTCTTCACTTGGTTTGTCAGGTTACTTTGAGGGGTGCCTATCGTAGATCTGGATACACAGGGTAGAGCTAAACCAAGGTAGGAACAAAGAAAGAATCTTGAGAAAAATTTATCATACTCAGGAATAATGAATGTGAAGATGGTGTTGTTGGTGAATTCTTTCTTCACTGGGTTTGTCAGGCTAGGGGTGTGTATGGTTGGATGCCTGACTTTATTTTGAATGACTTAAAAACTCTCATACTGCTTGTTGAATCTTTTGGTCAAACTTTCCTGAGTTTTCAGCTTTTGTGCCTTCCCTCAAACCAACTTGTAATTTATATTGAGTGTTCCTGTTTAACCATAATGAAATCACTCTTCTTTCTCTCGTGTATGAATTTATCACAGCATTGCCACACTGTACAACTGGAGGTATCGTAACCTTGGCAACCTGCCTCACGTGAAGAGGATGCCCGAGTTCCAGACCGTAAACCCTGGCTTGGCCTTTGACTATCAGCTCATCAATGTCGATAACTTCAATGGAGTGGGGGAATCTGAGCCCAATCCTTACTTCTATCAGGTAAAAATGAGAGAAATACTGAAACATTCCTCAGGTCGATGACAACTGTAAAGGGTGGCTATACAAGGAGTAAATACCTTACACAAACTTTCATCCATTTTGTTGTTTAGAAAAATATTTCAGAAATCAGTTGGGTAATTTACTTTAAGTCTTGTGTATGTAATTGCCTGATGTTTATTTCGATTTTGCTTTTAGAACCTGGCTGAAGCGGAGTACGTGGTGGCGCTCTTTATGTACATGAGGTTGCTAGGATACCCAGCTGAGAAGATCAGCATCCTCACTACATACAACGGTCAGAAGCATCTAATCCGTGATGTCATCAACAAACGATGCTCGGACAACCCAATAATGGGTCAACCCCACAAGGTCAGGTTACATTGTTTATGGATTGAAGAAATATTGGAGTGACGATAGGTGGATTCTACTTCTTTTTAAAACATTTTGAGGGAATTTGTGGTATATAATATATATATATATATATATATATATATATATATATCATCACAATGGGCAAGTAAAATTGCAGGAACTAAACCTATCTATTTAGGCCAGGTTTAAACCCATTGGTGGTCAAACTGTTCATACCATTTAAATCATAATAATTCTTTAAATTTCATTATGGAACAACAATAAATTCTATTGAATAGAGAAGTTCAGCTTTTTAGAGTTAAATCAGGCAGCTTAGTGGCACAAATAAGACGCATCCAGAATGCAAAAGACTCACTAGTTATGGATAGTTACCTCTATGTGAAAAAGTTATGATTTTCAAGGTGTTCTGGACTTGTCTTCTGTGAAACCTATAAGTCTGCCGTCTTGAATGTCTTATTGTTTGCCCTGCTTTATATGATGATGTCATCAAGAGTTAGCTTTTGACATGTGCATGCCTTAATGCTTGTATAACACTACATTGTTTCATCCCTCATCATCAGGTGACGACAGTGGATCGTTTCCAGGGGCAACAGAATGACTACATCCTCCTATCACTAGTCAGGACGAGGGCAGTTGGACACATCAGGTATGGTTATTCAGAGTTTTATGAAATGCCTTTATAGTAGCCTAATTTGTAGAAATTATATAACATTGCATATTTGTCACCAAATTGTTGATACATATAAGCACTCTTATCCTTTTTGCAAAACTGTAACATAAGTTCAGGTTTAAATCTCTAACTATATCAAGCGGGTAAAGTCAAGTTCGCTGAATTTTAGAGTGCCAACCTCTTTAACCTGTAACTATTCCCATAATTAACCAAGTCAACAAACAATCATATGAAATCCATTTTTCATCATTACTGGATTTAGTTTTTTTAATTAATTTGGTTACAGTAATTTGAACAGATGAAAGAGCTTGACACCTTATAAATAAGCAAGTAATTTAAATAAGGTTTGACAGCTCACTTTTATGAATATGAGCCTTTGTGACCAAGTGCATGTAATAATTACACATGTAGGAGTATTTCCCAAGCATCTCTGGTACTGTACAGGTTGCATGTGGGTTAACATTGCCAGAGCAAGGATAACACAAAGTTCTATTACAGATGCTTTGCCAGCAAAAGCTCCACAATCAATTTTCAATGCTAATCAAAAGCCTACCTATACCCTTACCCTATCTATTGTATCATTATTTCAATGTTTTTGTACTCATGCCTGTAGTAAAAAGCTGTTTGAAACTGAAGAATCTTTGTTATTTTATAATAATAATAATAATACTCAGTTTTTATATAGTGCTTATTACAATCACTAAGCGCTTCCAAACTTGGAGATTATTACCCCAGCTTTAGCTGTGCTGCCATTGCCGGCGCTCTAGCATTTTAAAGAATTATTGCCCGTGTAGTATGTCTTTGCAAAGCAACCTTTATATCTGGTCACTTTTAACGCTCGTATGTAAATGTCTTCTTTGTTTGACTACAGGGACGTGAGGAGGCTTGTGGTCGCCATGTCCAGAGCCAGACTTGGTCTCTATGTCTTTGGCAGGGTTTCCCTCTTCCAGAACTGCTATGAGCTATCACCAACATTCCGAAACGTAAGACCAATCAGCATCATAGGTTCATTAAGGATAATTTTAGTGTGCATAAAGAGGAATGTATGCAGGTGTTGTTGTTGTTTTAGTTTTTATGGCGTGTGTCATTCATTTATGAATATTTACGCCCTGTAAGTGGTTACTACAAAGTCTCCAACAAGTAAAGAGTTATTAGTGTAATTTGATTAAAATTTCTCCCGATCAGCGCTATTGTATGGGGTGTACCTTGTTTAAAAGCAGGACCGTGGTTGGATTTCAAAAGTTTAACAAATTGTGCTTAATCTTGAATTTCTTAAATATTGCCCGTTAGTTATTATCCTTGAATGACACAAAGATAATTTCTGCACAGTTTTTGCATTTTATGAATTCATCTCATGATTTTATTCGATGCTAGAAGAAGAAAAAAACATCTCCAAAAAATACAGAGAAACAAATTCTCACAAATGTATGATTTAAATCCAAGTAGGCGTTATTGGTATTGAATTTTATGACTTAATTCATATTTGTTTTTCTTGTGATTGCAGCTGATGTCAAGACCGATTCATCTTCATCTAGTTCCATCTGAGACATACCCACCACAGAGAAAGGTAACAAGGATAGAGGGTTGATCATCATAAAATGCAACCATCAAAATAACTGTTTTTTCTAACTGTCAGGTTACTTGCCGCTATACTAATAGGTTTTTTAAAACAGGGGAAAAAAAGCAATATCCAAATTTGCAATATCCTGTACCTATTTGGGGATCAAAGGACAAGTCTGGTCTAATAATGATTAAATACATCAAAGCAAGTTTGGATAAAATTGTTTGACTGATTTGAAAGTGCAAAATTTCTTGAAAACCTGTGTGATTAACTTTGTCCTGAATTTATGACCTTCACAATTCAATATTTGTGAAGTTGCATGCACACAGCAACATCAAAATGATATGTGCAAAGGCTTGGGGATATCAAAATATACATTTAAGGGAATGATATCACAAACTGATTCAGTTTTCTTATCAGTAAGGGTAGGTTTGTACAAGATATCATAATAAATTAAAAAAACCAAAAGATACTATAGGGGCTTTAGGAGAAGAATGGACAGGTCCAAGTTATTTTTTGTCTCAGTTTATCCCATATGTTGCTAAGTAATATAAATTGACACCAATACCATCATTCTAATTGATGTCTGCTCTGATCCTGACTGTAGTAGGACTCGCTAATTAATAATGTCTAGGACCTTGCCCGAATATTCTCATTGTTTTGTTTTTCTAGATCGGCCAGCCTCCACATGGTGGTGCCATGGTGATAGAAGACATGGCTCACATGGCTGGGTTTGTCTATGAGATGTACAATGACCGCATGCAGAGGATGCATGCACAGATAGGGGTAAGTTTGTTGGGTCCAATGTCTCTTACCAGCTCAACCCTGCAAGGGCCAGGGGAGGGGTGGCTTAATCACGCCCCTCCCCTTGCCAAGACAAGTTCAAGGAGACTTTTTTTTTGGGGGGGGGCGGGCCTTGAAGCCTAGAGTCTAAAGCACCTTTGATACCAAACTTTTAAAAATAAACAAAAGCAGAATTATCACCTCACGGGATAGTTAACTAGTGATAATTAAACAGATCATTTGAGATATAGATATGGAACTTCATGGGCTTATTGAAGAGATGCTCTATTTGTAATACGTGGCCAATATTCCATCTGCCCTTTGTTAAGGGTTAAGCTAAATTAAGACATGTAGAGGACCATTTTGCTGGATGAATTGTATAATTATTAACTATCAAGGCATGTTTGGCATCTTATAACGATGATTTAGATTATAATTTATTGTCATTAAGTTTTATTATAATGTGTTCTATCTGTATACAAATTTCACATCTAGATCTTGTCATGGATATTTAAATTACATATGAATGGTAGTATTGAATGCATACTACCTACACTGTATTTGCATACATTCAAACCTAAAGTTACTTTTCATATGGATTTTAAGATTGTAATGGAGTATTGCCTATGTATTGTAAATTTCTTATTCCTTTGATTTATGCTTTTGTTGTATAGCGCCAAAGAAGAATAGAACGTCTAGCCAAACCTCCAGTGTCTCACAAACCCCCTGGGTCTCACAAACCCCCTGCAAAGAAAGTGGAAGAACCCATGGAGACTGAACCTGTTGAAGAAGCCAATAAGGAGGTGGCAGACGCAAAGGAGGAAGAGGTGGACCATTCCAAGATGCCAGAACATCCGGGGGAGAGCAGTAGTGAATCAGAGGGAGAAGATGATAAGGAGACGCAAGTAATGCAGGGGCAGGCAGAGAAAACGAAGGGAAATGATGATGAGGATAAGGAGACACAAGACATACAAGGGCAGGCTGTGGCAGAAACAACAGTGGAGAAGGCAAAATCAGATGAGTAAGTTTACATTTATTATTCTAGCCCTCGAATGGTGTGTATCTTATAGGGGAAAAATCTGGAGGACAGGAGGCAAATGTAGTCATTGAGAGCAAGCCTGGGGTTCTTCCACACAAAAAAAGAGCCCCCATGAGCTATTTTAGTAATGACAGAGGGCTCTTTTTTAATACAAATTTCCATTGATTGTACCCATGATACTCCTAAATTCCTTGCCATTTCATCATTATCATTTATTTAAGTCTGCATTTTCCCTCTTACAACTTTAGATGGGGTAACTGACTTTCACTGCTAGCTTCCGTTGTTTAAATCAGTAATACTCATAGATATGTAGAGATGGGTGATATAGTGCCTTTTCGCGCCGAATAAGCATACATTTCTTTACACTATGGGGGCCTCCAGACACCACTCAATTCGAGGGAGAAATCCTGCACGCTAATCTTACTTTAATTTCATTGATTTAGGGTTTGAAACTCAATATTGTGTGAAATATCTGTATTTCATAATTATACTGGGGCGATTTTTAATTTTGCAATCGGCCCTGTGAGCAATCTGATGGAGCTCACGGGGGTGAATCGCCCGTCTCCCCCTTGTATTTCGAGCCTTGATGGAGAGTGTACTTAATCTAGTTTGAAAGCCGCTAAGCAGCTGATTTTGGCTTATTGACCAACATATTTATGACTATTTTCATATCCATTTTTACAGGACTGAAAAGATGGAAGAAACTTAACAGCTTGTGAAACTCGAGACATTCAGTGGGATGCAGCATGGATAGACCACAAGAAGAACAATAAATATCAACTTGTTGCTGGTTCAAGTCATTAACATGTACTGTAAAAATTCAGTGAGGATTTGTAAAAACATTTGTGGTGCCTGAGGGGTTGCGTTTAAATTTAGCCCCTCCCCCCCATATTTTTTGAGACAATTTTTTAAAGCGTAAAATCTTGAAAATTGCTCATTTTTCCCCAGAACAGATAAAACATTGGTTATTTGGTCTTGTTCTGGGGGTCATAATAGTAAGAAATGAAATAACCTTGGTCTTAAGAATTGTAGTGAAAACGAATGTTGAAATATGAAGAATGTATGATTTATGGATAAATTGCATAAATATGCTTCACGCTGCGATCTTGGTTGAGGGCGGGGCCAAATTAGCCCCCCCCCCTCCCCAGGGTTAATAGCATTTCTTTATTGCAATGTTACAAAATTGTTGCTAGGGTAGAACAAACATTATGACTCTTCCTGCCTAACACGGCATGTACGCATTTTTGTAATGTTATCAAAATAGCCCTACAAAAAGGAGTTATTGGTCACAGAAATTTGACAACATGTATTGCTCATTAGCATTAATAAGATTAGCCAGTTGTTAAATCTCAGACTCCACTGAATACCAATCACTCTTAAAGGCTAAGTCCCCTCCAAAAATAATTCACTTTCGATAGATGCATTGAGTAAAATTGGATAACTAATAAGAAAGTTATGAATTTTTGAAAAACTACGGAACAATGGAAATCACTTCACAAATTCCCATTTCCCAATTCAGTTATCAGTCGATGACGTCATTGCCTCACTAATGGCTTTATACATTATCCCATTAATTTCCTTTTTCGTCCCCAAAAACTTGATTTCCCCATGCTTTTGCCCACATGACCATTTCACAATCTTTTATGCACTTTGATACTATTTTCTAAATATTGTATATTCATAATCATTGAAATAGTTAATCAAAATTCACATTTTTCAGGATTCAACTGAAAAAATAACTCTATTTTAGTGCTTGGATGTTGGTGTGAGGAAATAACATTATTGGGGGGAAATGTGAAATTTAAATTATCAATATACGGTAAAGAAAATAATTAGTGGATAGTGAGGCAATAACGTCACATACCAATTTGTCTAGTGATATTCAAAGTTTTTCTGCTTCTATTGAAAGCAAGTAATATTTGGAGTGGACTTGTCCTTTAACAAGCTGTTTTGTGGCTCCAGATTACTCTGGCAGGTGAATTTAGAAATATAAATCTGTGCCAAAAATAATCTTTAATGAGCATGACGAAATGTGTCAAATATGAGGACACTTCAAGTTCCCTCACAAACAATTTTTTTTGGCATTAAATTTGATACGAAAATGACCCGTTGCAAATTATGCTACCTGCTCACTATATGGTGTTATATAGAATATGAGTTTTTCTATTTCACAATAATTACCATGTCAAGGGTTTTCTTTGTAATAAAATTCTTTTTTATATATATATATACACTTTGTACTCATTTTAGTCGTCTTTTCATTTAGGTTTTGAAGAATTCATAGAAATATGATGAACACTGAAGGGGCTTTATTCTTTCATATCGGGGTCAGCAACCATGAGAATACGGTTTGAAATATTTCTAATGAAAACGATTCAAACAGTGGGTTTTGTTACATTTTGTCAAAAAGTAAAGACTTGAAATTATTATTTGAAGAAGCCTTTGATTGGAAAAAGTGATTCCTTGGCCTAACCCAATTTATCCATGTTGTATATCGTTGATTAAAATGGCGAAGAGAAAGTATGCATGAGTGGTAGCGGCGCAGCAAATATGAATATTCATGCTATAGAGTGCTGTTTGCTCGAGATTGCTGAATATGCACAAATATTCACCGCTCTTTTTCCCATCGAAGACTTCTTCAAATTATTATTTCAAGTTGTTGACCGGATGCCCAGACTGCAGAGAGTCCAGATTTCGGTACTACTTTACTTTTCGAAAAAATGTGACCAAATTTGCGGTTTGAAGCATTTTTCTTTGTAGGATCTGGAGCTCTGACGGCGGAGCTTCCTGGAGTTAATTATAATAGATGTGTACTTATGATTGTATGCTAAATCTTGCAGCTGTAGCATAACAACACCTTGGTGGATGACAACACTACTCGGCCGGTCAAATAAGCCTAGTTCAACTTGAAAACAACTTACAAGTTTTCCCCGGAACATGATGAATTATTTGCTCAGTCTCAAAATCACGTAGGATAAATATTGGACAAGATGCAATTTTTCTTGCCCGCTTAGTGTCACCTTTGGCTGAATAAACATGATCACTGAAAAATTAATATTTTTTGTAAGCATGATGAACATTGATAATACAACGTTCGTATCAATCCCCCCTCCAACTAAGTTTTATGGTTCTTTCAAAAGCGGTTAACTAGGACGAACTAGCGTACCAATAGACGATTACTCTAAACGAAAGCAGAAAAATCAGAGAAGCAGACTGTTGAAAGTTTCAATTAAATCTGACTAGATATAAGAAAGTTATGAAATTTTGAAAGTTGTAATCACTATACGTATGGGCACTTCAAATTGGCTGAAACAGTAATGTCCATGTAATGTTGTGCCAGACTACTTTCCCATCTGTTTCAACATATAAAATGACAAAAAATATTAATTTTTCAAAAATAAATGGCTCAGGAGAGTCAATTCTTTTTAGAAGACCTATGATGATATGCTACATGTATCTATAATATATTTTAAGTAGTGCCCCAAGGGAGAAGGGAGTTACAATAGTGATATTTTTGTAAACGGCAAATGGGAGTTATCTACGTCCTACGTCACGATCCACTAACCAAACTACCAGTTTAAGGATTCACATAGACTTGGTGATCTCATATTTAAAACATTCATAATTTCACTACTATTGGTCCGATTCATTTCAAACTAAGTACACTTATTAAAGAAAAAAATACACTTGTTACACCTAAAAAAAGACACTTATGAGAATGGGAAACGGGCATTTGTCGATGATTTTGATAGGCGCATTTGTAAGAGATGAAAAAGGATGGGTCCCTTATAAGAAAGAAAAGGGGCTCGTAATCATTGTTAAAAGGGGCACCTATCGCACCTGAAAAGGGGCAATTATCAGAGGTGAAGGGGGCACTTATCTGCAATGAAAAGGGCACTGAGAATGAAAAAGGACAATTTTTATACGGTGCAGAAAGCTGGACTCTCTACAAAAGTCAAGTAAACAAACTTCACGCTTTCATGATGAGACACCTCCGAGCAATCATGAGAATCACATGGATGGACAAGGTGACAAAAAAAGAGATACTAGAGCGAGCAAACCTACCTTCTATGGAGGACCTGCTCATCAGTAAAAACCTACGGTGGACAGGCCATGCCATCAGGATGCCCTCTGAGAGGTAACCAAAGCAACTACCTGCTGGCGAAAGAGGGATTTGTCGACCACGGCTTTGCTACAAGGACATCGTCAAGCGGAACCTTAAGCTGAGGTAAATCGAAATCAAGACTTGAGACAACTGCTACTACTACTATGAGAAGGGGAAGGGGCACTTATCATAAGGAAAAGGGGCACTTATTAGAAAGGAAAAGGGACACAAAAGAAAATATAAGTTGCGCTTATCTGAGTTTAAAAGGTGTAGTTATTACAATGGGAAGGGCACTACTTACAAAGGAAAAAAGGCACTTGTCAAAGGAAAGGGGCACCTCTCAGATTTAGAGTAGACTCGGACTAAAGATTAAAAAGGGCACTTATGAGAATGGAAAATGGACACTTATTGCAAAGAAAATGAAAAAACTTTTTGATGGAAAAGGGGCATGTTTCAATATAAAAGGGGCACTTATCAGAGGTGTAAAGGGGAAGGGGCACTTTTTCTATGTAAAAAGGGGCACTTCTTACAAAGTCAAATGGGCGCTTTTCCTATGTAAAAAGGGGCACTTTTGGGTTCCTTGAAAAAGTAGCCGCCTCTGTGTATACGTACAAACATGGGGTAGAATTTTGCCTATAACCCCGCATATCAGATTAAAGTTTAAAACGTGCAAATTTGACTATGATCTTTGGAGTAAATTTAATTACCTTCATTCAATGCAATATTTCAAAGCAAACAGACATTACACCATTACCTGAGAATTGTAATGGGTTATCTTTAAAACACTTTTATTCCTCTTTACAATGATAACCCTTTTGTATTGACGATTTAATCATGGATTGAGGCCAAGTAAAAAAAAAATATTGCAAAATGCATTCTTATTCCACCAACGGGAAAAGAATCTATTTTGTATGAAAGATGAATCAATAAATTCAAATAAATGGAGAATTCCCTGATGACAATAACATTTCGTTTTTAACTTGCCCCCATATTCAGGTGTACTGCGCATTCCATGATTACATAATCATTAAAATGGATCATCACTGTAAGGGATTATAAATAGATTTTTCAATTATACCAACATCAAGTATGATAGTAATAATAACAAGAGAGAGAGAGAGAGAGAGAGTCAAACTTAAATTGCAAAACTTCTTTGAGAGGTATATAAAAAAAATAAAAAAATCATGATTACTTACAAATCTTCTTCTCAGAAAAAAAGGACCATTTGGCTTTGTAATGCAGGTGACTGGATTGGCTATTCCACGCTGTGATGCTCGAAGCTGGCAAACACCAGTAACCATCACTCTTCTGGTTACATGTATAATACCTGCAGATAATTATAATTTTTTTTTAATTGAAAACTTTAAACTCAAAATGACTCTCACGAACTATCTATGGATTCTGCACCCCTGTCTTCAATAGCTGGCTTGCACTATGAACATGACGGACAAAGAAAGATTACAAAATATAGAGTTCCTCATTCTACCCTCAACAATCGCTGTGGTAGACAGAGGAACGTCCCTTTACTGCTATTATGTAAAAATGTGTAGAACGGATGTCGCATGCATATTCACCTGTTCTACACATTTTTACATAATAGCAGTGAAGGGATGGTTTTTTTTTAATTTTCCAATATTTGCCCTAACATCCCTTTTTTCTACAAACGGGAGTCATATTTTCGGAAAAGGGGTGGTTTTCGAATTTTCCAATATTTGCCCTGACATCCCTTTTTCAACAAACGGGAGTCATAATAAGTCTGTGGGAATGTTGGGACTATCATGGAGAGTAAATGGAGAGGATTGAACATTTTCATTTTTTGGCAAAAACGATGAGCTAACCCCTTGTCATTTTTTCGAAAAAAGGGGCGGTTTTCGAGTTTTCCAATATTCGACCTAACATCCTTTTTTGGATTAAATGGGACTCATAATAAGTCTGTGGGGATGTCGGGACCATCATGGAGAGTAAATTGAGAGGATTGAAATTTTTCATTTTTTGGCAAAAACGATGAGCTAACCCCTTGTCATTTTTTCCAAAAAAGGGCGTTTTTCGAAGTTATCCCAAAAGTGCCTTTACTTACCTTCTTGTGAGCAAACGAGAGTCATAATAAGTCAGTCAGGATGCTAGGACTATCCTGGAGAATAAATTGAGAGGATTAAAAAATTTCATTTTTTGGCAAAAACGATGAGCTAACCCCTTGCCATATTTTCGGAAAAGGGGTGGTTTTCGAATTTTCCAATATTTGCCCTGACATCCCTTTTTCAACAAACGGGAGTCATTATAAGTCTGTGGGAATGTTGGGACTATCATGGAGAGTAAATGGAG